ACTAACGGGGAAGGGGTGACCAGGAATAGGGGGGGGGTAACCGGGGGACCACGGTGGGGGAAGCGGCGGTAGTAGGAGACGGACTCGTCAAAGGTGACGTCACGAGAGTGAAAGAAGCGGTGAGACGGCGGGTGGTAAAAGTGCCAGTCGGACGCGTCAAGGGGAAAACCGAGGAAGACGCAGGGAAGGGTGCGGGCAGTGAGCTTGTCCGTGCCGGAGGCACGGACGTGAGCAAGGCAGCCCCAGACGTGGAACGCAGACGCGTCACCAGGAGACCCAGTCCACAGACGGGTCGGCGAAACCTGCGGCTGCTGAGGATGCGGCCACAGGTTAAGCTGGTGAGAAGCGTAGCGCACAGCGAACGGCTACAGAAAATGGGGTGCACCGGCATGGACCATGGAGGTGCGAGCGACCTCCATGACCAAGCCGAAGCGTCGCTCAGCGACCCCATTCTGCTGTGGGGAGTCCGGTAGGGTGAACGTCTGGGTGATGCCCTCCGCACGACAAAAGCGACCAAGGACACCTGAGGCAAACTCGCCACCACGGTCTGAGTGAAGACGCAAGACAGGGAGACCGCGGTGGACACGCGCAGAGACAAGCCAGGGGATGAGGGCGCCAGGCACGTCGGCCTTGCGCTCCAGGGGAAAGACTGTGGTGTAACGAGTGAAGTCGTCGACAAGCACAAGGAAGTAGCGCTCGCGACGCGGCCCAGGGACGGGGGCGGGGCCCCAGACGTCCAGGTGCAGGGTCTGCAGCGGCGCGGCGGTAGGGGGGAACGAGGAGGAGTGAGGGGCACGGCGAAGCCGACCCTCAACACAAGGCGTGCAAGGTGGAGCTGGGGAGGAGGGAAACGCGGGGAGTGAACCTGGGAGACCAAGGACAAGACCGTGCTGGGACATGTGACGCAGACGCGGGAGCGCAGGGTGACCTAGGCGGTGGTGCCACAGGAGGGTCGGGTGAGTGAGGGAGCGACAGGAGCAGGCAGCAGCAACCTGGGTAGACACAGCCACCTGAGGGGGCGCTCCAGCCGGGGGGGGCACGGTGTCCAGAGTGAACAGGCCGGACACCGGGTCCCGAGGGAACGTGGACAGGGGGGCACCAGTGGCGGCCTCGGTACAGACAGCATACCGCTCGTGACCAGGGAACGTAGTGGTGACGCCAAGGTCCTGGAGGCAGCCGACACCAACTAGGTTCCTGGAGAACGAGGGGATATGCAGACCTGTAAGAGAGCCCGAAGGAACCGCCGGACAGGGAAGGGTGGTGGAACTGCGGGCGACTACCGGACCGCTGGAGGGGTCAGCAAGAGAAACGGCAGCAGGAACAGGAAGCGGCGTCAGGGTGGTGGAGTCGCGGAAGAAACACCGAGAGGCGCCAGAGTCCAAGGTGAAGGAAAGCGAAGCCGAGGGGTCTGGCGACGGAACGACGGCGGAAGCACCAAGACTACACAAAGCAGGGGATCCTATGCCTGACGCAGCAGGGGAGGCTAATCTAGGCACACCTACACTAGGCAACAATGAGTAATAAGTCGGAAGCACACTAGAGTCATCAGCATACATCACATGCAGAGCAGAAACAATGGCATCCATGTCCATATCAAAGATCTGAATCTGACGACTAAGCAAACTGTGCCAGTCCGGGAGGTCTGGCGACGGGCCGAAACGCTGACGAAAGAGGTCGTCCAGGCGACGAAAGCAGCGGGGAGTGGAGTGACCGATCTAACCGCAAACGAAGCCGCGGCGAGGACCGGTCTGGATCTGGTACTGACAACGCCCGCCGGCAGAGCCACCACGCGGCACACCACCACGCGCCCGTCCACCGCCAGCGCCGGGCCACCCTGGCGGGAGAACACTCGTCTGCCGCGTCTGCGACGGCTGCTGCGGCTGCTGCGAAGGCTGCGACTGCGGCGGCTGCTGCGGCTGCTGCAACTGCAGGGGCGGCGACTCAGCTGGACTGGGCAGGGTCCCCTCGTCCGCTCCAGCACCAGGCGACCCGACCCCACCACTACCCCCGCCCGCACCCCCGCCGCCCCCTCCGCCGCGCCCAGCCTTGGGGCGGCGGCCCTTCCCAGAACGGGCCTGCGCTGCAGCAGCAGTCTCAGCCACTGCGGCAGAGCCGTCGGAGAAGGTACACTGAGCGGGGGCACAACCCTGAAAGATAGGGACCGGCACGACACCGCTCGCCTGGGCGATGGAGCGGTGACGGGTCTCTATCACAGTCAGGGTGTCGACAAAGTCAGTGAGGGTGAGGTCTGCGGGGTGAACACTAAGGAAGCGGTCGCGGGCGACAGCAAGGCGGTCAGGGAGGCGGGTGGCAAGCAGGTAGAGGGTAGAGGTAATGGGCGGCTGGTGGGCTCTAAGCTGTGCGTCAGTGCAGGCGGCGCGCCAGGTCTCCTCTATCGAGCGCAGGTGGGCAGCGAGGTCAGAGACAGTGGGGAACGAAGCAAGGTCAGGAAAGAGCAGCGGGAGGATCAGGCGACCCACCGAGGCAGCCGGAGGGGTGGAATAGCGCTTGATGACAGCATCTAAGTATGCCTGAGCAGTAGTGAGGGACCTAAAGCGAGGACGCTCGGACGGGGGGAGGGCGTTGCTAATGGCAAGCTGGGCGACAGCATCGCGAGAAAGCCAGACAGAGCGCGCACGGGCAGTGGCAGCAGTAGACTCACGCTCAGTGGGTGTGGGGTCAGCGGGCAGAATAGCAGGAGGGTCTGGACAGGGGAGCGTACCGTCAAGGTGTGCGGAAAGCGGTTCACCATCCTGCCGCTGGCCAGTGAGTTGGCGGCGGAGGTCGGCAAGCCACGCCTCGAACTCTAGGGGCTGACCTTCAGCGTCGAAGCGAAGCTCCGCCGCCATCAGGAACAGTCCAGTGCTGTGCAGGGCGGTGCAGTGCGGTGCAGTGCGATACAGTGCGATACTGTGCGGTACAGTGCGGTGCAGTGCGGTGTAGTGCGGTGCAGTGCGGTACAGTGCGGTGCAGTGCGGTGCAGGGCGGCACGGAGCAGGGCGGGGTGGGGGGGGGGGGGGGGAGGGGGGAGGGACGGGGCCGTACCAGTGAGGAGGACGGGGCCGGGCGGGCGCGACGGGGCCGGGCTGATGCGACAGGACCGGGACGGGGCGACGGGGCCGAGCGGGCGCGACGGGGCCGGGCTGGGGCGACGGGGCCGGGCGAGTGCGGCAGGGCTGGGCCGGTGCGACGGGGCCGGGCGAGCGGGACGGCGGCCGGGCTGGTGCGACGGGGCCGGGCGGCTGTGACGGGGCCGGGCAGGGTGCGACGGGGCCGGGCGGGTGCGACGGGGCCGGGCGGCTGCGACGGGGCCGGGCGAGCGCGACGGGCCGGGCAGGGTGCGACGGCGCCGGGCGGGCGCGACGGGGCCGGGCGGCGGCGACGGCGCCGGGCGGGCGCGACGGGGCCGGGCGGCGGCGACGGGGTCGGGCGGGCGCGACGGCGCCGGGCGGGCACGACGGGGCCGGGCGGCGGCGACGGGTACGACGCGGCCCAGGAGGGGCGCTACGGGGCCCAGGAGGGGCACGACGGGGGGCCCAGGAGAGGCGCTACGAAGCCCAGGAGGGGCGCTACGGGGCCTGGGAGGGGCGCGACGGGGCCTGGGAGGGGCGCGACGGGGCCCAGGAGGGGCGCTACAGGGCCCAAGGAGGGCGCGACGGGGCCCAGGAGGGGCGCTACGGGGCCCAGGAGGGGCGCGACGGGGCCCAGGAGGGGCGCTACGGAGCCCAGGAGGGGCGCGACAGAGCCCAGGAGGGGCGCTACGGGGCCTGGAAGGAGCGCGACGGGGCCCAGGAGGGGCGCGACAGAGCCCAGGAGGGGCGCGACGAGGCCTGGGAGGAGCGCGACGGGGCCCAGGAGGGGCGCTAGGGGGCCTGGGAGGAGCGCGACGGGGCCTGGGAGGGGCGCGATGGGGCCTGGGAGGGCGTTACAGGGCCCAGGAGGGGCGCTACGAAGCCCAGGAGGGGCGCGACGAGGCCCAGGAGGGGCGCTACGGGGCCCAGGAGGGGCGCGACGGGGCGCTACGGGGCCTGGGAGGAGCGCGACGGGGCCCAGGAGGGGCGCTAGAGGGCCTGGGAGGGGCGCGACGGGGCCTGGGAGGGGCGCGACGGGGCCTGGGAGGGCGGTACAGGGCCTTGGAGGGGCGCTACGAGGCCTAGGAGGGGCGCTACGAGGCCTGGGAGGAGCGCGATGGGGCCCAGGAGGGGCGCTAGGGGGCCTGGGAGGAGCGCGACGGGGCCTGGGAGGAGCGCGACGGGGCCCAGGAGGGGCGCTAGGGGGCATGAGCGGAAACGGTAGGTGGGGGGGGGGATCCTACCTACGCGTGATACCATATCAGAATAATTGAATAACGGTAAAGTGAGAGTACACACAAATATATCTAAGTTTTGTATCCTCTAAGAGGTGACTCTATACAGTCTATACAAACATGACAAATACACATGTTTGACACACTTGGCCTCCGGTGCCAACACAGCTGATATCTTTACGAAGGCGCTTGCGCCTAAAGATCATCAGCTGCACTGTGTACAGCTTGGTCTAGTTCCTGTAGCCTCTCACTTGCTAGGGCCTTGACTTTGTACTGTCCTTTATATGTGTACTCAGACTGGACTTGTGTCCTCTCCTTGTGGCTGGACTAGTAGTGCCGCCCTGGTCTTGTTCTTGCCTTGTCTGTACTCCTTCTGACTGGTCTTTTAGACCCTTGTCTCAGAGGCTGGACTAGTTGTGCCGCCCTGAGCTGCTTGTTCAGGACCTGCCCCTATGCAGTCTAGGAGGTGTGTCAAACATGTGTATCTCCTATGCTTGCATAGACTGTATAGGGCCACCTCTTAGAGGGTACAACACTTAGGTATATTCACCTGTACTCTCCCTCTACTCATAATTCAGTTCTCACTTTGACAAGAAGTTCCACCTTCCAAGTCTTTTTTGGGAGTTGAATGGCCAAATGGGCTTGTTGGCCGGTGGGACTGTGCACATTTGGGATGGGAGTACCAGTACCGTAACAATAACTCGAGGGTTACAGGAATGGGAATACTTGAAGTCACCATATTGCACAGAACACAACCTTAAGAAAGAGAGTGCGGTGCGGTTGCTTGTTCACGAATCCCGCAAGAGTTCCGGCAGCATTTTGTACAGTACTGGAGTTTACGTACTGGTATCCTCCGAGCCTGGCTGACAATAACATGAGGCTTGGTCACATATTTTACATTTATTCCCGTACCCAATGCAGCATTCCCTTCACCATTCACTACGCTAAGGGGTTCCACTAACCCCTGTAAACCAGTATTCCCAGTAGTTGGGGTGACCAGTCGAGTGCTTAAAAAGAAGCTGAGTGGGTCAGCATGTCTGTCATGCTGCTCATTTGCCATGCTGTCCATGTGCCATGCTGTTCATGTGTCATGCTGTTCATGTGCCATGCCGTCCATGCGCCATCTGTCCATGTGCCATGTTGACCATGTGACATGCTGTTGCATCCGCCATGCCGTCATGGGCCATGCCGTGATGTGCCATGCCGTCATGTGCCATGCCGTCATGTGCCATGCCATCATGTGCCATGCTGTCCATGTGACATGCCGTCATGTGCCATGCTGTCCATGTGCCATGCTGTGCATGTGACATGCTGTTGCATGTGCCATGCTGCCCATGTGACATGCTGTGCATGTGCTATGCCGTTATGTGACATGGTGTGCATGTGCCATGCTGTTCATGTGACATGCTGTTGCATGTGCATGCTTTGCATGCGCCATGCTGCCCATGTGACATGCTGTTGCATGTGCATGCTTTGCATGCGCCATGCTGCCCATGTGACATGCTGTTGCATGTGCCATGCTGTGCATGTGCCATGCTGTGCATAGGGAGAAAGAAGAGGAAGGGAAGAGGCAAAAGACGGTGAGCAGGTGGAGGTGTAGGGAGGGGGAAAGGAGGAGAGGGGGCAGAGGGGATGGAGGTAGGCAGGAGACAGGGAGGGGACAGGAGGACAGCAGGGACGGAGATAAGAACATGGGTGCGAGGAGGGGAACGAGGGAGGGAGTGGGGAGGCGAGGGGATGAGGGGAAATGGTTGGACGAAAAGGGGAGGGAGGGAGAAAGGTCGAGGGGGAAGTAGGGGAGGGAGGGAGTGGGGGGGGGGGAGAAGATGGGAGGAGAGAGAAGGGAAACAGGGCAGGGGTGGGGAAAGCACGGTGGGCATTGGGAAAAGAGGGAACACAAAAGGAAAACGGGGTGGAGGGGGTGGAGGGGGTGGAGGGGAGGGAAGCGGGAACAAGGGAGGGAAGGCGGGAAAGAGGGAGGGGAAAAGCGAGGAAGGGAAAGTGGAAGGGCGAGGAGGGCAAGCGCGGATAGGAAGGAAGGGCGAGAGCAAGGCGCCTAGCAGCTTCCCATGTCCCTCAAACTCTTTTCCCTCTTCTCATGGAATACAAGAATAACAACTTTCGATTGTTTAAACAGGTCATAAATTTTATCAAACACTCTCGATATGTGCTATTTGTCAGGACAGATGAGGAGGGAAAACACACAATGAAATTGAAAGTACAATTTGATTTAAAAAAAAATCAAGATGATGATCACTAAAAAAAGAGCAGAAATAATGTTTTTTAAATAAGCATTATCATAATAATGTGGAATTCAACATATGATGAATCCGACACTACTAACGCACCAACAATAGCTTCAGAATCTTTTCCGTTTTTTCCTCTGTGACTACTCGACTCATTTTCTTCTCCATTTATTTCCTTCCCTTCCCCTCCATTAGCCATTAGACATGTTTCGAGAACTTGTTTAAAAAAATCGGTTTTTGTATTTTCTTTCTTTCTATGATTTTGATCACTTCTTCTTCAATACTCATAAATCCAACAATTTCTTTCAATGTTCTTCTCCTTCCATTCCTCTCATTCTACGTTATTTCTCTGTTTCGTTTTGACTTTTATTTTCTCTCTATTTTCCTCCATTGATTGCTGCACCCATTTTAGCAATATGTTTTTCCATTGATTGTGTTTCAAGGTCAACTTCTTTTACGTTAATCTTATCATCATTTTCTTTAACATTTCGTTCAATTTCTCCCAGATTCTCAACACCCATCAACCCTGTTTTACTTTCAAATTTTGCTTCTTGTCTAAATCTCTCATCTCCGTTTTGTGGCAGTCTTATTCCCTCCATTTCCGTATTCTTTCCCCCCCCATTAGCCTTTACAAATGTATCGACAATTTTGTTCAACCCGTTCGTTTAGCTTACATTCTTCACCTCCTTTCGTTTCGATTGGCCGCTTGTTTTTTTCCTTGCTTTCTTCCCCACCAAGTCCCTCATGCTCCTTAAAACTCGTGAACCCAACTTCTCTTTCGATGCCATCTTTTGTACCATAGTCTCTTCTCCTTTCTATTAGCTCAATTCTTTCCCAATCGTTGTGCCAATCTATCTTTGTCAATTTTTTCTCGTTTACTTCATCCACACCAAACCTCTCCAACATTCCCATACTTCCCACCTCTCTCCCTTGTCCCTCCGCTTCATCCAACCTCCTCGAATATGCCTCCTCCATACTCTCCAGCTGACGGTCAGGGAAAAAGAGGACAAGGAGAGCACCCAATCAACTTGGTAGTCAACTTGATCTATAAGCATCTGCACCTAGCTTCCTCGCAACCGCACTTGCGTACCTATTAGCCAACACACCAAGCTAAGCTTGCAGTAGTTGTGCTATGGTTACCTAGGCATGACTGCTTAGCAGCAGGCGTGTTAACAATTTGTACCAACGTTGCCAGCCGTAGTATGGCTCCCTTACAGCTGCGCAGTCAAGCAAGTCTACACCTACTGCCTACACGACATGTCATACCTACCTTGCTTGCTCCTCAACCCAAGTCACTCTCGCATGCTGTACCTACCTTGCTATGTTTGCATCTGAACCTACACTTGACTCGGCTACACCCAAACCACATGGCTAACCATAGTCACCTGTTCTTCAGGCTACGACTCTCCAGCACCACGCTCAACTTAGCCCCCTCATCGTTGCCCGCTACTCGCTTGCTTGCCTCTTTTTAGACCTAGCTTGCATGCTTCGAGCCTCACACCATGCTCACCTGCTCTCTAAGTTGATTCTCCTGTCGATCAACCTCTCTAGCACCACGCTCAACTCAGTACCTTCGACCTTGCCCATCACTAGCTTTCTTGCTACTGACTTGCACTCCTCTCACCTGCACTTTCAGCTCTGCCTCCTGCTGAGCACCTCGCTCCAGCACCTCATGCAGTTCACCCTCCACCCTCAACAGCCGCAGCACAACTGCCACCATTGCCTCCATGCGCTACACCCACCTACTTGTGTTGTGCTATAGCAACCCAACCCAAATGCCCACCTGCTCTTTCAACTATGCCTCTCATCGACTAGCTGGCTCCAGCCCCACATGCAACTCAGGCTCCTTCATCCTCAACAGCTGCGGCACCTACTTGTGCTGTGGCAAGTTGCAACCCAACACATATGCTCACCTGCTCTTTAAGTTGAGTCTCCCGTTGATCACCCCTCTCTAGCACCACTCTCAACTCCACCTCCCTCATCCTCAAGAGCTGCAGCACAGCCACCAACTTTGCCTCCACCTGCATCCGCTGCTCCCTCTCGCTTGCGAGAGCCGCCTCCAGGTGCTGCTTGCTCTCCCACTCTTTGGCAATCTCTTTGAAAAGCGAGGATTCTAGCAGCTGCTTGCTCTCCCGCCCCTCCTGTAGTTGCAGCTGCGCCAAGGACAATTGGGTATGGGCCTCCAATAGCTGGTGTGAGAGCTGGAAGAGAGAGCAGCGAGAAAGAGGGTGTGGGGGAAAGAGGGTGTGGGGGAAAGAGGGTGTGGGGGAAAGAGGGTGTGGGGGGAAAGAGGGTGTGGGGGAAAGAGGGTGTGGGGGAAAGAGGGTGTGGGGGAAAGAGGGTGTGGGGGAAAGAGGGTGTGGGGGAAAGAGGGTGTGGGGGAAAGAGGGTGTGGGGGAAAGAGGGTGTGGGGGAAAGAGGGTGTGGGGGAAAGAGGGTGTGGGGGAAAGAGGGTGTGGGGGAAAGAGGGTGTGGGGGAAAGAGGGTGTGGGGGAAAGAGGGTGTGGGGGAAAGAGGGTGTGGGGGAAAGAGGGTGTGGGGGAAAGAGGGTGTGGGGGAAAGAGGGTGTGGGGGAAAGAGGGTGTGGGGGAAAGAGGGTGTGGGGGAAAGAGGGTGTGGGGGAAAGAGGGTGTGGGGGAAAGAGGGTGTGGGGGAAAGAGGGTGTGGGGGAAAGAGGGTGTGGGGGAAAGAGGGTGTGGGGGGAAAGAGGGTGTGGGGGGAAAGAGGGTGTGGGGGAAAGAGGGTGTGGGGGAAAGAGGGTGTGGGGGAAAGAGGCGACAAGAGGAATTGATGGGGCAGGGGGAGTGAGAAAGAGAAACCCTCATTGCAAAGGGGATGAGAAGGAGGGACAGCCGAGGGGGGGGGGGGGGGCAGAGGGATGGGGTGGAGGCGAGAAGCATCAAGGAACTCATTTTGCAAACGAATCCTAGCAACTTCGCTCACCTCTCAACGACTCGAGACTTGTACAACCCTGCTTGTTCCCTTATATACACCCCGCCACCTTTTTGTGCTTCAATATGTGCTTCAATATGTGCTTCAATATGTGATTCAATATGTGCTTCAACATGTGCTTCAATATGTGCTTCAATATGTGCTTCAATATGTGCTTCAATATGTGCTTCAATATGTGCTTCAATATGTGCTTCAATATGTGCTTCAATATGTGATTCAATATGTGCTTCAATATGTGCTTCAATATGTGATTCAATGTGCTTCAATATGTGCTTCAATATGTGCTTCAATATGTGCTTCAATATGTGCTTCAATATGTGCTTCAATATGTGCTTCAATATGTGATTCAATATGTGCTTCAATATGTGCTTCAATATGTGCTTCAATATGTGCTTCAATATGTGCTTCAATATGTGCTTCAATATGTGCTTCAATATGTGCTTCAATATGTGCTTCAATATGTGCTTCAATATGTGCTTCAATATGTGCTTCAATATGTGCTTCAATATGTGCTTCAATATGTGCTTCTTGATGTGCTACTGTATGCATTCCCAACGCTAACCAATCACCTTCCTATTAAATGAGTTGTGTTTTGAGAACTCTAGAAAATCCAGCACCTACCCGTGCCCCTTCAATATTTATGTACCGTTCAGCACAGCAACCAACCACCAACCCACCTTGGCAGCTTGAGACTTGTACAGCTCCGCCTCTGCTGCCCGCTCCCTCATGCGTTCCAGCATCCCCTCCACCGCCTCCCTATATGGCTTCATCTGCACCTTCAGTGCCCCCTTGCCTGCCCAAGCAAGTCAATGTGCAGGAAAAACAATGCGAAGTAAGTTTCTCATAGCATGCCCTCTCATGCGTTCCAATGCCTCCTCCACCACCTCCTTGTACGACTTCATCTGCACCTCCAGTTCCCCCTTGCCTGCAGCAAAACCTCCCTGTGTGCAAAGAGCAGGAAACAGCACTAAGTGCAAAGGACGTGCATAAGGGAATGATTAGCTCTTCCCAAGTCCCAATCCGCCGGATACCCAAACCCGTCACTCAACGCCCAAGCAACACACAAGCAACGCACTCACCTCACCCACTCCGAATCTACTCTCTTCATCGATCCCCTACCTTTGCCGCCCGGATTGAATTCCCTCAAAACTCGTTCACTAGCCAGATACCCAAAAAGGTTTATCGAGCGCGTCACACGGACCACAAGCCACACCACCTGCCCCGCACATTGCCTCCTCCCATGCCCTCCCCCCTCCCCCCTTCTCCCTTCCCCCTTCCCCCCTCCTACCCTGGCAGCCCTTAACCGTTTTTTAAGCCACCTTCCCCCCCCTCATCTTTTGAAAACCGGTTAAACTCTTTCACGTCTCCTTCACTCGCCAGAAACCCAAACAGGTTCCTCAGGCGCATTGCAGGGCCCACAAGCGGAGCCACCCTCATCACCCATTCCCTCCTGCCCCGGCCCACCCTCTCAAACTGCTGCCCCAGGCACTGTGCCTCCAAGAAGCCAAGAGGGGTGGGTTGGAAGACAAGCGCACTCATGCCCCTATGGCCCTGATGGGTGGGAGAGAACGAGTAGAGGAGACATCCAGAGATAGACAAGCAACGATCAAGCATGGGAGTAGGCATATTGCACCTCAATACCCTCTCCCTCCTCCCCCGCCCCTACCTTTCAAACTGTTGTGCCAGACGCTGTGCCTCCAATAAGTCAAGCGCGGTGCGTGCAAAGAAAAGTGTATTCATGCTGCAATGGCTCTGAGGAGAGGGGGGAGGAAGGGGGCAGGCATGGGACAAAGCCGTCCTGTCATACTGCTGTGCCAGACCAGGCGCACTGCCTCCCATGAATCCGAGAGGGGTGCCTGAAAAGACAAGAGCACTCATATTGTGATGGCCCTCAGCAAGGAGAGACCGGGAGGGGGAGACGGAAAGGTGGGACGAGAGGGATGGAGACAGGCAGAAGACCGGAAGGGGATGAAAGCTGCTATAACTGCCCATGGCTCAGTAACAGAGGAGTGGAGGAGGGCGGGGGGTGTGGGAGGGGGGGGAATATGGATCCTGAGGACAGCTACGCATGGCCCAACAGCATGGAAGAAGGGGGGCGAGGAGGGAATGAGCTCTGCCCATAGCACCCATGGCTCGGGCTAAACAGTGTGAAAAGAGGACTAGGAGCTCGTATCGCCCCATGCCATCCTGCAGCTGCATGGATCCAACAAGGGGGGATGGGGGCGGGGAGGAGCAGGGAGAAGGGGGGAGAGGGGGGGAGGCGGGGGGAGAGGCGGGGAGGCGGGGGTATGGGCACAATGTGACAGCTCATACCTGCCCATGCCATTCGGCAGCTGCACGGAAGCAACAAGGGGGGATAGAGGCGGGAGGGGCGGGGTTTGAGAAACGGATGGAGATCAGGAAAGGTCCAGAGCTCATATCTGCCCACGGTGTCTCGCAACTGGATCATGCAAGATGGGAGGGTGGAGAAGGTGGGTAGGGGCGGGGAGTAGCGGGGAGCGGCAGGGAGGGGGGGAATGAGAGGGATTGGGAGGGATTTAAGTCATTTTCCTTGAGCTTATAACGGCCCATGGCGTCTAGCAGGGAGGGTGGAGATGGTGGAGGGCAGCAGGAAGGATAGGGGCGGGAAAGGGTGGAAACTTTTGAGAAGTCCCGGACCTCAAATCTGTCGATTCCGCCTCGCTGCTGCAAGGATGCAGGAAGGAAGGACGAGTGGGGAAAGGGGGGACCGAGGGGAGGGGAGGGGAGGGGAGGGGGGGGGAGGGGAGGGGAGGGGAGGGGAGGGGAGGGGAGGGATGGGAGGGTAGGGGAGGGGAGGGAGGGGAGGGGAGGGGAGGGGGGGGGAGGGATGGGAGGAGAGGGGAGGGGATGGGAGGGGAGGGGAGGGGAGGGGAGGGGAGGGGATGGGAGGGGGGGGGGGGGGGGGGGGGAGGGGAGGGGAGGGGGAGGGGAGGGGAGGGGAGGGGAGGGGAGATGGAGATGGGGGGTGTGGAGTTGTGAAACAGGGATGCATGATCTGTCTCTTCCCGCAATGTGCTTCAGACAAGCAACACAGGCGGCTACACCGCCACCATAACAATCCCATAGTTATGCCAATGAGATGAGTGGATTTCCCAGAAACCAACAGCATCATCAACAGGACTCACCTGGCCAGTACCTCGTCTTTGCAGCCATGTGTTTTTATTAATTCTAAAAACACCCTGTTTCAGATCGGATTCCACCAAGGGGGAAAAACAACCACACACGACTCAGCGAGCCATCATCAACACGGCTATCCATCACGTCGGGAACAGGTCAACATCAACTTTCCCTTTCGCTCACCTGGCCAGTATCTCGTCTCCCCAGCCGTGTGTCTCTGATAATCACATGGCTTTCCCAGCCATGCGTTTCTGATAATTGCCACAAACGACCAAACCACCATAACGTTCCCATCCAAGATAATACCCACTCACCACACACCCCCCACCACCCACTCACCAGTCCGATACTCGGCTTTCTCAGCCAGCCACAACAGGCAGCCAAAACACCATAGCGCTCCCATCCACGACTCCAGCCCCCACCTGCAAACCCCTCATCCTCTTCCATTAACACTCACCTGACCAGTAGCCGGCTTTTGAGTCGACTCAAAAATCGACTCATTACACACCTACCCACTGTTAGAATATTCTCCCTTCATTCTCTTAGCCTACATCGTTTCATTGTCTTAGGTACTTATAAGCACCCCACTAGGGTGTATACACCCAAGTTGGGGGTTGGGTTCCCAAATTGGTTGGGCTCCCAATTATTGGAGCCCCCAATAATCCCAACCAAGATTATTGGACCCACCAATAAATCTTGGCTAGGATCATTGGACCCCCAATAAGTTGGCCAACTCAACTTATTGGGGTCACCAATAATCGTCGTCACCTCCCAACCAAAACCCCCGCCTCCCTCCTACTCCTCACCTATGTATACCCACTCTTTTCCTAATACAATCATCACTTGAGTTTCTCACACCCACGACTCCACCCCCCACCTGCAAACCTCTCACCTCACCCTCTTCCATTATCGCTCACCTGACCAGCAGCCGGCTTTCCCAGCCACGTGTTTCTGATGATGACCACAGGCGGCCACACCAGCATAGTGTTCCCATCCACAGTACCACCCTCTGCCTTCAAGCCCCCCACCCCCCTCCACTTCCGCAGCAGCACCCCCTCCTCCCCTTCTTCCCCCCCTTCACTTCCCCCTCCTCCTGCTCCCCCTCTTCCCCGCCCTCTCCCCCTCCCACCATCACCACCCCTGTTCTCTTCAGCCGAGCCGCAACACTGCTGCTAGCCCTCGTCCCCTTCAAGAGGGCAGCAACAGCATCAGTGAACCTACGGTGGCTCCTAGCCCTACGAGCTCTAACGGTCAGAGTATGCTGCAGCAGCGCCTGCAAGCCCGGGTAGAGAGCACCCCCGCCCTTGCCTCCCTTGCACATGGGGCGCCTCCCTGGGCTCCAATCGCGTCCTTTGCATTTCGAGACTGGTTGGCTGGCAGCTTTTGGAGGGTTTTAAGAAATTGGGCCACTGCTGGTGCGTGTTTGGAGACTGCACGGTTGCCATTCGAGAAGGGCATAGAGTTATCCTCATCCTCATCGTCATCCCCATCCTTATCCCCATCATAACTTGCATTATCTTCTTCATCGTCACGAAGAGACGTGCCGCTTTCCTCGATACCTTCGACATTCTCCCCCTCGTCCTCCTTTTCCTCTTCGTCGTCCTCCTCCTGCTCCTCCTCCTCCTCTTCCTCTTTCTCCTCCTCTTCCTCCTCCTCCCCTTCCCCTCCACAATCCTCTCCTTCTTCCTCCTCCTCCTCCCCCCCCTCCGCCTCCTCCCCCCCTCCTCCTCCTCTCCTCCCCAATCCCCCAATCCCCCTCTTCCCCCTCGTCCTCCTCCAGCCCCTCCACCTCCCAACCCCCCTCGTCCCCCTCTTCCTCATCTATCGCCTCTCCACTCTCCTCACCTTCCTCCCCCCCTCCACCCATAAATGCAGGTGCAGGGAGGAGCGAGATAGACACAGCTGCAGGGTTGGGTTTGGATGGAAAGGCAGCTGGTGGGGGTGGGGGTGGCCACGACACCCCTGTGCTGCAAAACGAGAGGGCCGAGGAGTCAGGAGCTTGGAGCGCGATAGACGCAGGTGCAGGGTGGAGCGACATAGGTGCAGGTGCAGGGTTGGGTTTGGATGGGAAGACAGCTGGTGGGGCTGGCCAGGACACCCCTGTGTTACCAAAGACGAGAGTTGAGGCATCAGGGGTAGCAGCGGCTGAGTCTGAGGCCTTACAAAGGGCCGGAGTAGCCTCGGCAGGAGTAGCCTCAGCCGGAGTAGCCTCGGCCGGAGTAGCCTCGGATGGAGTAGCCTTGGCCGGAGTAGCCTCGACCGGAGTAGCCTCGGGTGGAGTAGCCTTGGCCGGAGTAGCCTCGGCAGGTGTGACAGGTGAGAGGGTGATAGCTGCGGAGGAGACAACCGAAGAGGTGACTATTGACGGGGCGACCACTGATGACGTGGGATAAGAGGAGGTGATGAGGGACGATGCCATGATAGAGGTCGTGGTATCGGAAGGTGCGACAGTTGACAGGGCAGCATCTGGGGAGGTGACATCTGGGGAGGTGACAACTGAGGGGGGGACCACTGATTGGGCGGCAATCGAGGGGGTGACGACAACTGAAGGGCTGGCAAATAGTGGTGGTGTTGCTGCCGCTGCTGCTGCTGCTGCTGCTCCTATTGCTTCCCCTGCTACTTCTCCTCCTCTCCTTGGATCCCCTGCTGTCCAGCCCTTCTGTGGCGCTAGCTGCAATGGTACCGCTCTACCAGCGAAAACCACCCCAGGAAAGCCATTATCAGGCTGCTGTTTAAAGGGGCGATTACGGCTGTGAGCAGGCGATTCACCCATGGGTGATTCAGCCTTGGGTGATTCACCCATGGGTGACTCAGCCTTCGGTGATTCAGCCTTGGATGACTGAGCCTTGGATGACTGAGCCTTGGATGACTCAGCCTTGGACGATCCAGCATTGGGTGATTCAGCCTTGGGTGATTCAGCCTTGGATGATCCAGCCTTGGGTGATTCAGGTTCAGCCTTGGATGATTCGGCCTTGGATGATCCAGCTTTGGATGATCCAGCCTTGGGTGATTCAGGTTCAGCCTTGGATGATTCGGCCTTGGATGATCCAGCTTTGGATGATCCAGCCTTGGAAGAATCAACCTTCCGGCTCCACTCCGTGATGTCACCCCCTGCTGCTGCCGCCGCCCCACGACCACTACCACTGCTGTCACCACCACCACAGCTGCTGCCAGTTGCAATGCTACCACCATTGGTAGCAGCACTGCTACCACCATTGCTACCACCAATGCGACCAGCATTGCTGGCAGCACTGCCACCAAATCCTGCAGCACTCAGGGGGACATCACTCCTCTCCCACCCAGTTGCACCAGCCTGCATCCTTCCCCTCACTTGCACACCTGCACTTTCAACCTGCCAACTACCAGCAGCAGCACTGCCACCATATGCAGCAGCACCATATGCAGCAGCACTGCCACCATATGCAGCAGCACTCAGGGGAACATCACTCCTCTCCCGCACACGAGCAGCACCCTGCATCCCTCTCCTCGTTCCCACGCCTGCTCTTTCAACCTGCAAACCACCACCACTCGCAGCACCACTAGAAGCACCAACAGCAGCAGCACCACCATATCAAGCAGCACCACCATATCAAGCAGCACCACCATATCAAGCAGCATCCCGCCCCGTGCTCCCATATATGCCCCTTCGATCCCTCTCCCACCACCGCCAAGGCCTGCAGCACCCAACGGAGCATCGCTTCTCTCCCAAACAGAAGCACCACCAGAAGCACTGGCAGAAGCAGCAGCGCTACCACCAAAGCCCCTAGCACCCAAGGGAGCATCGCTCCTCTCCCACACACAAGTACCAGCAGCAGCAGCACCACCAAAGCCTGCAGTACCCAAGGGAAGATCGCTCCTTTCCCACACAGAAGCACCAGAGTCCGCCCCTTCCCATGCTCTCCAACCTGCCCCCTCGCCCTGCTCTCTCCACCCATCATCACCACCACCACTGGCACCAGAGCCTGCATCAGTGCCAGCAGCACCCAACGGCACATCGCTCCGCTCCCACGAAGGAAAACTGGACCCCCCCCCTCCCAGTGCTCCCAAACCTGCCCCCTCGCCCTGCCCTCTCCACCCCGTCCGCTTGTTGGGAGGCACATACCTGCCAGAGGCTCGAACCGTACCTGTGCTGCTGGAGGCTCGGCCCATACCTGTGCTGCTGCTGGAGGTTAGGCCTGTACTTGTGGAGCTGCTGGTGGTCTGGCCCATAACTCTGCCAACGCTGGAGCTTTGGACCGGATCTCTAGCGCTGCTGGAGGCTCGGGCCGAGCCTATGTCACTGCTGCTAGCGTGTGGCCTGGAGATTATCACTTGGTTCCCAGCAGCAGTACTGTAACAGTTACTGAGACTCGGCACGTTTCTGCCCCATGAAGAGGCGGCGCTACTATTACCGCTACTGTTACTATTACTGTTACTGTTACTGTTACTGATACTGTTCCTCTGCCAACCTGTGCTGTTGCCCCATTGGTTGTTGAGGTCGACATTGGGGTCGGACCAAGCACTGGTAACAGCACTCCTGTCTGCTCTCCTATCCTCCTTCGTAACAGCGTTTCTTAGGCGCGTGAACTCGTTTGTAGCAGCATTTCTTTGGGGCACGAGCGGATGGGACGAGCTGGAATGAGAGACACAGTCGCCCTGGATGACACTGGCAACACTCCCAGGCAAGTCCCCTTCCTCCGCATCCCAAAACTCCTCTTCCTCCTCTCCCTGCTCTCCCCCCTCTTCCTCCTCTCCCTGCTTCCCGCCCCCGTCCTCCTCTCCCTGCCTGCCCTCGTCCTCCTCTCCCTGCCTGTAACCACCAGCGCTGTAACCACCAGCGCGGTAACCAGCAACGTTGAAACCAGCAACGTTGTAACCGGCAGTGTCATAACCAGCAGCACTGTAACCTCCACCCGTGGAACTACTGGGAGCATCAGCACTGCACCCAGGGCCACGGACGTCTGACTTCTTCCTCCTCTCCTTATCAGTGAAAGGAGGAGAAGAGGAAGTGCTGCCAGTCGTCATCCCCTGAAGCTGCTGCCGTCCCCATGACGCTGCTTTCCTCGTCACCCTCCTGAAAAGGCTTCACATTGCCAGCTGCAGCCGTTCCTTGACGCGTCTTTCTCCAAAAAGGATGTGAAATATCCGCTACAGCCATAGCGCTCTCCCTGTTGTGATGTCTCTGCAGCTCCGAATCACCCGCTACAGCTGCTGCAGTGCTCGAGCCACATCCAGCAGCGTGCGAAGCAGCAACCGGCAAATTTTCAGCAGCTGGCGAGTTTGCAGCAGCTGACGAGTTCCGTGGCACGGCAAAGCGCAGACTACCAGAGGCGGTGGAGGCACAGATGATAGCATCAGAGCCATCCCACGGTTGCTCGGGACCATTCGAATCGAACCATGAGTTGACAGACGCGGCGGGAGCAACCGAGGCATCATCAGACGCAGGCCATCGATTGTCAGCCGCGTCTCCTGTCTCATTAGCCCAGCGTGGCGTGTCTTCTGGTGGTTCGTTCGCCCAGCGCCGCTGCGTGAGGCGCATGGCTACGAGCTGCTTGTGAGCTGATTGTTTCTAGACTGGTCTACGCAGAGGATCCAGGCCACGGTAACAAGTTTGACAGTCCTGTGATGTAGTATTTTGCGATGAGCGGTTACAGGGTGCACTTCCGATATCGTCAAGCCTTCTGGAGGTTCGAAAGCACCACGGGGCGAACTGGAGGACGATTCCATAGGTTGGCGAAAATGGTGAAGCTGGTGTGTCCCCTCGAACATATCTGAATGAACGAGAGTTCGGCAATCATGAGTGTTACAAAGTCAGCCTACTAAATTAATATTGAAACTAGCATAGTGAATTCACACAATTTTGCGGACCCCCTTACAATAATCTCGCAACCGCATGATCTCCCCTACAATCACTCCCTCATTCTTCCAGCCTCCCCCTCGGTTCGGGTAAAGGTGGGTGGACGCAGTTCAGCACTGTACATTTCGCATCCCCCCCCCCACCCCCTCCAACACCATCCCGAGTTCATGGCGCTTGTCGACCTTGGACGGGGTTGCAAACGGTTCAGTAGGTTAATATGTAACTTCACATGGTTCAGTGTGGTAAAGAGCCTAACCCAATTCCGCGCGACTGATCCACTGGAGATGCCATTGCAGGTGCTGCGGGCTCTAAGCAGCTCTACAGGATGTACCGGAATCCTGAATCCTGGTCAGGTCACGCATCACCGACTACTTCTGTACAGTACGTAGCAGGAAGGAGCGTCAAGCATTCATGGCTACGGTACTCGTTATGTGGAGACCTAGTAGGTGCAGACGATTTACTCGCGTCTAGACTAGCTTTCCGATTCGCGTCTATCTTATGGAAGCTTTTGGTTTGAGCATTCGGAACTAGTCTTTCCGATCCACTGATCCCCTGATTCCCTGATTCCGCTTGCATTTCGAATTCAGCGTCAACGTTTTCGTTCGTGTTCGTTAATCTCGCTTCCACTCTTGCGAATGACCGCCGTCCATCCATGCATAGACGCGCCAGCTCTCCGCGCGGCGGCGATCCTTACCGCGAGGCAGCAAGACGAGGCCAGATCCTGACCGTCGGCTTGTTCATCGTCACCGTCGCTCTTCTCTGCTGCGCGTCGCTCGTTTCGATCTACTCCGACGAAGGTTCCTTGCTTCTTCGCGAATGGTCCTCTTCTCCGTCCTCAAAGGACCAGATGAAACCCGGTACGATCCACGGTCAATCCGATGATGCGTACTTAGGTGGATCGGAATCCGAATTGGACGATGCGAAGCTCATGAGTGCGAATCATGAGGGTCTTTCGGCTACATGGAATCGAATCCCGGGATCTGCGCTAGACTCTCCGGATAAGATCCGGCAATTTCGAAAGAGATTCGCGTGCATATCGAAGGCTGGTCGGTGGGCGTATAACAGCACTCCGCGACTGTTACCATGGCCGGACGAAGCGAGCGAATGCGACGTTGCCTTCGCGAAGCTGGACGAGAAAAACCTCGCTATGGAGTGGGCCGATAACGTGGCTAATCAGATGGAGTCGGTACAGCGCAGGATAGATAGGGTTCCGATTATGGCGAAGTGGAAGCGGAAAGTAGAATCGATGGAGCGATACCAAGGGATGCTACGTAAGCGCTGGCGCGTAAGAGACACGCTTAAGTACGAGTGGTTGGTACCGGGACAGGAGGAGGAGGGGGAAGAGGGAGGAGGAGGAGATGGAGGTATGGACGGCCGAAATGGTGCCACATGTGGTGCCTGGGACCGATTTGATCCTGAGCGGTTTTGTCGGATTATCAGCGGGAGGAATGTGCTTGTAGTGGGAGATTCCAACAATCTGCTTTTAGCGAATTCGATCTGGCAGAATGCAAGAGTAGGTGCGAAGGATCCAGCTATCCGCGTTAGAAGGGGACAGCTGACTCCCTATTGCCAGCGGCTTAGGAAGGCGTCCAAGAAACCGTTACAAGCACGCTGCTGGACGGTTGACCTCTGCTCCGATTTAGACAGCTCTTATACTGCGGAGGACTCTAGCGGATCGGCGGTTTCTGAACAGGGTTCGGGAAGCAGTGGGGTTGAAACGAATGGTCCAGATTCGACCTCCTCTTCCAGCCAGAATGGGCGGAGGGAGGGTGGAGGAAGGAGGGGAGGAAAGGGAGGGGTAGATTTGGAGGGGGGAGGCCAACAAGTCGCTCAGGCAGATTCGCAGCAGCAACAGCAACAGCAGCAGCCGACCAAGCAGAAGCTGAGTCAGCAGTCGGAGGAGCGGTCACAGAGACGCAGGGATGACATGACGGCAGGAAGTGAACCAGTTAACAAGCAGAAGCAAAAGGGTGAGTCAAGGCAGAGGGCTGAAGGTCAAACTGAAGAGCGACTGGATTCAGAGAAAAGAGACGTGCGAGACGGGACACGGGGTGGCGGTAGTGGGAAAGGAGGCAGCGTTGGGAGCGAGGGGAGGGACGGGGGTGGAGAGATGGGCAGGAGGTCTGGTGCTGGGTCTGGAGACTTGGAGACAAAGAAAGCCGTGCAGCAGCAGACGCGGGGGCAGCAGACGCGGGGGCAGCAGACGCGGGAACAGCAGACGCGGGGGCAGCAGAGCACTTCACAGAAGCGTGGTGCGACAGCGGCTGCGGCTGCTGCTTCTGTGGCAGCAGTGACGGCTAAAGGCGGTGCTGCTCGTGCTGCTGCTGCTGCTGCTGCTGGTGCAAAGGGTGCGTCTAGTGCAGCAGGTGGGACGTCCAAAGGAAGGAAGGGCGGGCAACGAAGCTTGTTAAGCAGCGAAGAAGACCAAGGGGAGCAACCGAGCAGCAGCACCCAAGCAGAGCTCCAAGCAAAGCCCTTTCAGCTGCACTTTATCCAAGACGATAGCCTCATCCTCAACTTCACAGGAGCAGGAAACGACTGGACCGCCTCAGGCCCAGCTAATGACTGGATCGTGGACCAGAGTTTCCACGAGTCGTGGATGGGCGAGATCGCAGCGCAGAACATCTCAATAGTAATGATGAATCGAGGTGCCCACTTTGTTCCTCACGACCAGTTTGAGCGGCAAATGCGTTCAACACTGCTGGCGCTCAGGCAGACACACCCTGACCTGCTCATCCTCTTTAGAAGCTCCCCCAGTAGCCATCCCAACTGCTGGGAGCACTGGGAACCGTCAAGGGAACTGATGAAACCTCCACTTGCAGATGGTGACAATGACAAAGCAGATTTGAGTGAAGTACAGAACGGGATTGCGAAGGGGGTGGTGGAGATGGCTGGAGGGGTGTTTATAGATGTGGATTATCTGACCGCGCTTAGGCCGGATGGGCATGTGGGAAGGAGGGACTGTACTCGTTATTGTCAGCCTGGGCCTGTGGATACGTGGACTCAAGTGCTGTACAATATGCTGCTGGACCTTCTGCCAGAATCTTGATTGAGTGACCTCAAGTGCTGTACAATTGTTCATTGGGTTGTGTGCAATATGGTGGGATGTTCATTCTTGTACCCCTAACGTTCATGTTACGGTAGTCTTACCAGGCCAATATCTGTATGGGTTGCTCGGACAGGAGAGAAACAGTGTGGAGTGGAATCCCATCCCACCCACCCCTTCTGCAAGCCACGAACCTTCACCAATGCCAGCTACCTGCAGGTACTGTATGAAAGGGTATTCGTACCAAAATCAGCAAGTGTTTCAACTTTCAACTCAATAACATGTACAGAGTACACCCTCAGGTGTTTTCAACCAACAGCCCCTGCAGCATTTTGTGCAGCAGCTGCACCCATGTGTCCACGGGCCCTGGGTGGCAGTAGTGCAGGCAGTCCCTCCTCCCAATATGCCCATCCGCCCGCCACACTGTCGACACATTCACATCCATGTACACCCCTCCCACGCCCTCCGCCAGCCGCTTCAAAATATCATTCTGAGCTGCAAACCCGTCCCAGTGCCAGTCATCATGAGGCAGTTTCAGCACGTCCCTCACTGGTTCATTATGGAGCCAACACCCGGGATGGCCAGCCAGTGTATTCCGGACGATAATCAGCAGGTCGGGGTATGTCTGTCGGAGCGCCAGCAGTGTGGACTGCATTTGCCGCTCAAACTGATCGTCTGAAATGTAGTGCGCGCCTCGGTTCATCACCACTATCGAGATGTTCAGCGCTGCAATCTCACCCATCCACGACTCGTCGAAGCTCTTGTCGGCCATAAAATTGTTGACTGCTTCTGTAGAGTTCAGATAATAATCCCGAACGAAAAACAGCCGGACGGAGAAACCCAAGCCCCCACAGAGATCGGCTGTCCAGCATTTGGGATCCCATGGCTTCTTAGTTGCATTCCGAAGCCGCTGGCAGTAGCCTGTCGGCTCGTCCCACCGAACCCGGGATGCCTCATCCTTAGCACCCAGTCTGACATTGAATCTGATGGCATCTGCTAGAAGCATGCTTATAGAGTCACCCACTATAAGCACACTCCTCCCATCCAAAATCTGGCAAAACTTCTGCGGATCGAACGGTTCCCAAGGTCCGCTGCACTTGCTGCCAGAAACACTATCCGTTCCCTCTGCTTCACTTCCTGGAACTTTCCAGAAGTACTTAAGCGCCTCTCTTACATTCCACTGTCTTATAAGATCGTCCCGCTGCCGCGTCAGCTGCTCCAGCTGCTGTTTAGCCTCATGTGTTGGTGCCCCTTTCCCCTGCCGAGCACTACTACTAAGGTTAGCAGGAACCTCCCCTAACTCCGCTGTAACTTTTTGTATCTGTGTAACCACATGGTCCGCGTCTTGAAACGCCACGTGTCTCGAGCTCTGGTTCAGATGGTCCTTGTCGCAGATGCTCATCTCGTCCGGCCATGGCAGGTAGCGCGGGGTCACATCGTGATACCACTCTCCCTCCCGCCCTATGCACTCGAATCTCTCCCGAAATGTGCTGATTTTTTCAGGGGAATCGAGTACGGAACCCGGGATTCGGGTCCAGAGGGTTGGTGGAGGGTTGGAGATGGGAGGGTCGGAGGGAGGAGGTTTGGAGGGAAGTGGGTTCGAGAGAGGAGGGCTGGACGGTGGAGAGCTGGACGGTGGAGGGCTGGAGGGTGGAGGGCTGGAGGGAGGAAGGTTCGAGAAGGGAGGGACGGATATTTGAGGGGTGATGGAAGGAGGAGGGGCGATGGAAGGAGGAGAGCTGATGGAAGGAGCAGGAGAGCCGTCATTGGGATAAGAGGAAGGTGAATTCTCTGGAGATGGCGAAAACCTTGAACTCGGGGGCGACGATGCGAGCTGATTTCGCAGGGATGATGCGGCGGCGACGTCAGCAGGCGAAGGGCTCGTAGTACCGGTTGAGAGCACGGCGGGAGGGGAGGTGGGGCCAGCAGCGAGAGGAGAGGGAGGGAGGAGAGGGAGGAGAGAGGGAGGAGAGAGAGTAGGATAAATGCGAGAATCCGAGTCGTGGAATTGCGAGCGACCCTCCCAGTCGTCGTGTCTATATACTCTGGCGGACTTGAATATTGCTGACTCCGCTACTATTGCCGACACTGATTGTTCGCGATCTACCGCGAGCCGATTAGGGTCGGCTTGAGAATGCGGGCGTTGCGTCCAGTCGGCATGTCTATAAACTCTCCCGGACCTCCCTAATGCTGACTCCTCTCCTACTAATACTGCCGGCGCTTTCACGGACGGCGGCGAAGCAGCAGCTCCGCCTGCTGCGAAATCTGGCGAAGTTAGCGAATTTGACGAAACCGGGAGGATCTGACCCTGGAGGAGAGGAGAGGATCGGCGAGGCGAGTGTATCCAGAAGAGAGTGAACGAAAGAGCGAGAGCTATCGCGAATGCGGCTTCTAACCGTTGGAAAATCGGAACCGAGGCCTCCAGCCTTCTACCAGCATTAGTAGTAGTAATCCTAACTTCGGGACTTTCTGTCGCTTGTTCGGATCCTACTACTTGTAAGTCCATATTACTACTACCCTGCCGTCGGTCGCTGGCTCATCGCAAAACTGGCTCCATCGCCTCTTTCGTGGTGGCGGCAAAATATATATCACTCCCAAGTTCACACTCCACCGTTGGTGGATGTTCGACTCAAGAACCTTACTCAATCGTTCCAGTTCTGATGAAACCCTTCGGAACGAGATGCAGCTCACAGAACCGTAGTAAACGAGCTGAAAGTGGTACTCCTACAAGGCTGTCATGTGACCACTCAGAACGTGTTACAGGTCGAAATTTAACAAGTTCGGAGGTGTGGCCCGATCCTCTATATCGATCTGGGACGATTGAGCTTAAGGTTTGCTATGGAGGTGCGATTGTACAGTCCCTTGCCTGAGTTTGCCCGATGCAACAGTCAATGTGCGACAGTCAGGAATTTGTTTGCGAGGTTCGCACAAAACGTGAGACGCAGGAAACCAGGGTGGGCGAAAACACCCAACCATATGATAATGTCGGGCGTAGCGCAAATTGCGAAAATGGTATCTCGCCATGATCCTCTTCACCAGATTTGAATACCGAATATGGGAACAGGTATGCCAAGTCGTGTCATGATATAGGAAGTGTCAATCGACTAAAACGTGAGAATACAAGGTCGCTATTGCAATGAAGGCACGAGGTTATATAGGGGTTGGCGTGCTAGGGCGATAACCTCGGAACATGGGTAGGTTCTGCAATGTGGCAACAGTGCCGGACGCGACTCGGGAAAGGGTTGGGCCGACAAATGAGGCCGGAAGTGTCGAGTCGAGGAGTTCGGGCGTACGCGCTAGCGTACGACTCAGTAAGGAATCGAAATTCCTTACAAGTCGCGTGGTTGTAGCAGGAGCAATGTAACAAATACGAAATCCGACAACCGATCTCAATTATCAGTATTTTTAGGGATTGATCCTTAAGTTGTAACACGCCCTTAGGGCGTCGCATATACAGTGGGGTGGAGGGAATCAAGGGATGCATTTTGGTACCGTAGTATGCGTTAGTGCTTGTTTTGCTACAGTACAGTATGGAATTCTGGTGGCGAGGGTCAAGTCACTGACTGGTGAGGGGTAGGTGCGTGACGACGTATGATTAATCGGGCGAGCCACAACACCACCAGCTGACGCGAATCTGGTAACTAGATTGGAGTGAGAGAACGAAGACGTACGCCCACTTGAGCGAAATTGGAAGATTAAGAATGAAGTCCTAAGCATGAAAGGAGTATCTAGACGCTGTTATCGCTCGCTATTCCGCTCCCTCCCCCGTCTCTGCTGGCCGTCTCCTCCTGCCCTTGCTCTTCCCTGATCTAGCTTCCTTTCCCACTGTCGCTAATCTCGCTACCCACCTGCGCACTCTCGAGTCTAGCTACCGCACTGCTAGTACTGAAGCTCAGCTCATTGTACTTCCCCCTCCTATCGGCGCCACCCTTAATTTCCTCGCCACGCCCCTCCCTGACCGCCTAGCCACCGCCCATGACGCATGCCTTAGTCTACACCCAGCTGACCTCACCCTTACCGACTTTGTCGCCACCCTGTCGGCGATGGAGACCCGCAAGCGCACTATCGCTCAGTCTAGTGGTACTGCGGCGGTCCCTATCTTCCAGAGTTGTGCTCCCTCCTAGTGCACTAACTCTGACGCCTCCGCCACTGTCACTGAGACAGCCCCTGTCGTTGAAACCGTTGCGGCGGCCTCAGCGCCGCCTGGTCAGGGTAGAGGCCCCCGTCGCCCCAGAGTAGGGCGTGGGGAGGGAAGGGTGGTCGGGGTGGTGGGGGTGGCGGGGGTGGTGCGGGTGGTGGCAACGCTGGGGGTGCGGACGAGGGGGTGGGCCCTGAGGCCCCAGAGCAGCAGCAGTAGTAGTGGCAACAGCAGCAGTGGGGTCCCCGCCGCCGTGGTGGCTTGGGGACTTTGGTGGTGGTGGCCGCGGAGGCGGCCCTCGCAGCTCGATGTCGGGTGGTGGCTCCATTTCAGTGAGTTGCCAGTACCAGATTCAGTCTGGTCCCCTCCGTGGCACTGTCTGTAACCGTCCCGATCACACCGCTGCCCGCTGCTACCGCCGCCTCAACGACCTTTTCCGTCCCCGCTTCGGGCCCGCGCGGGCCCTCCCGGACTGGCACAGCTTGGTACGTCGCCGTGTGCTGGTCTTTGAGATGGATATGGTTCATATCCGTTATGCCTTGTATGCTATATATGCTGACGACCGTAGTGTTACTGGACCTTATTATCCTGTGTTGCTTAGACTAGGCGCTTATGCTGTATGTAGTCTAGGCTCCCCTGCTGCGTCAAGCGTAGGACCCGCCGACCGTCGTGTAGGATCACGTGTCTTGTGTAGCCAAGGTTTCACCATTGCGTCCCCGCCGGCCGACACTACCACCGTGCTCTCCTTCACGTTGGACTCCGGCGCGTCCGCTTCCTTCTTTTGTGGCCACACCACCCTTATGTCGCTTTCAGCACTTGTAGCACTCTCCCTTGCAGACCCCTCCTTGGTCCAGTAGTCGTACGCAGCTCCACCACACTTCCCTGTCCAGCGGTTCCCATTGGCTCTCTTACAGGTCTGCAGATCCCCTCTTTTTCTAGGAACCTGATTGGTGTTGGCTGTCTTCAAGACCTTGGCGTCAGCACCACGTTTCCTGGATACGAGCGGTACACTGTCTGTACAGAGGCCGCCACTGGTGCTCCCCTCACCGCATTTCCCCGGTCTCTGTCCGACTTGTTCACGCTGAACACCATGTCCCCTAGGTGGCTGCGTCTATGCAAGTCGCTGCGGCTTGCTCCTGTCAGTTGCTCAGTCACTTGACGCTATTGTGGCACCACCATTTAGGTCAACCCGCTCTCCCATGTTTCCGACACATGTCCCATCACGGTCTTATCTTAGGTCTCCCTGCGTCGCTGCCTGCCCTCCCTCCCTCTCTCGCGCCTCCGTGCACGCCTTGCGTCGAGGGGCGGCAGTGTGCTGCACCTCACTCCTCCGCGTTTCCCCCCACTACTGCGTCACTTCAGCCCTGCACCTAGACGTCTGTGGCATAGCCCCGGTCCTTGGGCCGCTTTGCACTTGCTGCTTCCTAGTTCTTGTTGAAGACTACTCGCGCTACACCACGGTGTTTCTCCTGCAGCGGAAGGCCGACGTGCCTGACATTCTTATCTTGTGGCTTATAGCTGCCTGAGTCCGATGTGCCCAGCCTGTGATTCGTCTACACCATGACCGTGAAGGCGAGTTTGCCTCCGGTCAGCTTGGCCAGTTCTGTCGTGCAGAGGGCATCATCCAGTCGTACACACTCACGGACTCCCCCCAGCAGAATGGGGTCGCTGAGCAACGCACCGGCCTGGCCATGGAGGTAGCTTGCACCTCCATGGTCTATGCCGGTGGACCCCACCTCCATGGTCCACGCCAGTGCACCCCATTTTCTGTGGCTGTTCACCAGCTTAACTTGTGGTTGCGCTCCCAGCAGCCACAGGTTTCGCTGATCCTTCTCTGGACCGGTTCCCTTGGTGACGCATCTGCAATTCACGTCTGGGGCTGCCTAGCTCATGTCCGCGACTCTCGCGTGGACAAGCTCATCGCCCGCACTGTCAATTGTGTTTTCCTTGGCTTCCCTGTTGATGCTCCTGACTGGCACTTTTACCACCCGTCGTCTCACCGTTTCTTTTACTAGCGTGACGTCACCTTTGACGAGTTTGTTTCCTTCTACACCCGCTTTTCCCTTGACAAGGTCTCCCCGTTACCCCGCCCCTGTTCCTTGTCCCCACCCTCCCGATAGCTCCCACTCCCCTTCCTTCCCATCCTGCCCCGTTTGGTGTGTCTCACATCACTCCCCTTCCCTTGGTTGGTTCGGCGGAGGAATCTGCTGACTCTTGGGGTCCCGGGGTCCTGGGTGCGCCGTCTATTTCTGCGGTGCCTACACCCGATAACCCGGTGCCTCCTCCACTGCAGCAGCAGCAGACGCCGCCACCGCCACAGCAGTAGCAGCTGCTGCAGCAGCAGGAGCCGGTGGGCTCTGGGGGTGTTGGCACAGGGGGTGCTTCCTGGGGGTGCGGGCCCTGGAGGTGTTGTCCCAGCGAGTACTGGCTGTAGCCTCAGTGGGGCTGGAGGTCTTTGTGAGAGTATGACCCCGCTACACTTCTTTCTCATTTTTATATTTCTTCTCTATCTTATTCTCCCTTTTCTCCTAATTCATTTGGTCTTTATCTTATCTCATTTGGTTTCCTATTCCTCATTTTCCATTATCCTTTGGTTCAAGCTATTATCATAATTATATTACCGACCAGGCTCGAGATGTACTCGCACGCTATATCTCGCGTAACCTTGTCGTAATCCCTTAAATTTTACCACCTCGCGTGGCTATACGCAGAGTGATTATATTTCTAGAAGGGTCTATTCTTTTTGGATAGGATAAACCTAATTACCTGATGTACCTTGGAAGTATAAAAGCGCCTTGTATTGATCGATAGTGCAACTTCCTATCGACCATTTCTATCCTGTAATAGTCTTGGTATGGGCACGGAGCAGCTGTAGCAGCAACAGCCGCAGCAGCAGGAGCCGATGTCCGCCTTTCGCCTCCTCGGTCTTCCCTCCACCTCCCATGGCCGACCGCCCGCGCCTTCCCTAGCGCCGCCTCCTCCTCCTGTTTATGGTCCTGTGTTCCCTTCGCCGGACTCGTCTCTGGCTCGTTTCCCCCCTCAGCCTCCTCCTGTGTCTCCTCTTTTGTCTCCTGACACGATGCCTCCCTCTCGCTGGTGGTCTCACCGTCCCTCCCGTGCCCGTCCAGTCTCTCCCCCTCTGAGTGTCCACCCTATGTTTCTCCGTTCTCACGCGTCTCGTGCTCTTCCTGCTCCCATTCTCCCATCACCTCCTTAGTCGTCCCTCTCTCTCTCCTCACCTCCTCTCTCCAAATTCCTCCGTGTTGGTTGCCCTCTTGTTCCTCGTGTCATAGCCTCTCTTGTTACCGACCCGTCCGTTTCTGTCACCAGTCTCTCGGCCCTTGTTGCTGCCGTCGTTGACTTTGCCTCTACCCACTGCCTTGACAAAACCATTGCTCTGGTC